TATTGTGTCAAATAGTTCCTAAAATTTCAGATTGTTTTTCATCCAATTGCAAGACACCAGAAGCTTGAGAAGAATTGTTTTCATCACAGGGAAGAAACTTTTTTTTTTCTTCTTTTAAGCCTTGTTTGAATGGAATAATCTTTGGCCACCATTTCCTCCTCCCCTCCCCAGCATTTGCTGGAGGCAGATGGAGAATCCAAGAGCTGTGGTTCTTTTAAAGGGAGTGGTCTTTCAGCTTTGGGTTGGTCTCTTACATAGAGTTTCCCAGAAAATACATCTGAGACAGACATTTGCTTGGGGGAGGTTTTGGCGTATGTTCCTGTAGCAACACTTCTAAGGGAGTGAAGGAAACAGGACCTGGCAAAGGGATAAGCTGAGCTGTGAGTCACTTGCCTCAAAGGCCTCAGCCAATGGCATGGGAGCTGGAATGGGAACCTTGGAGATGTTCCCAATGGGGGCCAGGAGTCTGGACTTCATAGCCAACATTAACGGGCCACTGGATGTGGGCTGCGCCAGGAAGAATGTGGTGTCTTGGCAGAGGCAACTCTTTTTAGGAGGGAAATTCTTGGGAAAGGGCTGACCTGGGATATGTCCGCGGGCACTGCCTTGACTTGGGGCTCCAGCAGGTGCAGCCTGGATCGGCTGGAGAGCCCTCTGACAATCTGGCCAGGATTCAGTCCAAGATCACATCGTGCTTTTGTTTGTCTTATTCCTTAGTCTTTTAACCTAGAAGAGCTTCTCAGCCTTTCTGTATCTTCTGTAACGTCTTTGAAGAGTTTAGGCCAGTTATTTTATAGAAATATTTAAGCTTGCCTAGTCTTGTCCTTATGATTCGAATTCAGGTTGTATTCTTTTGACTCATAATTTCTTTCCTCTCTTAGCAGGTCCAGCACTTCCCCTGAAGGTTATATTCTTCCTTGGTCTAAGTATTGTCTGGTGGCCAGAATAGGGAAAATGGGTAGATTCTGAAGAAAGAAGATGGTCTCTGCATTGCCTTTAAGCACGAGAGGAACAATAACCCTTAAAAGGGAGGAGCCACTTGCGCAGGCCCAGAAATTCCGATGAGTCTGATTTTTCAAGGTTCCCAAGTGCATTGACCCTTTTTCCTATCCCAGATCTTAGGTTGCCACTCCTTTCCATTTATGGCCTTGACATTGACACAGCAAACTTGTTGGCGCTTTTCTCTGGGCTCCACCCCCATTACACTTAAGTCCTGAGCTTGATTCTCATCTGTTTCTACCCTCTTGCCACAGCAATTGAGCACCTTTCTATGTGTTGCAAAAGGGGTCCTCTGCTTCCACATTTTGTCTAAATTAATGATTAATGACCCTCAGAGGCTCACTGTCTTACTGAAAAACACAGCTGTCCACATCAAGAGCCATCCAGCTTCCTTGCTGTCATAATTACTTCTTCCTCCAACCTCCCTATTGCCTGAGAAACTGCATCTGCCAGTAGGTTCCCTTCCTCCCCTATCCCGTAAATGAAAGTCCTAACAATTCTTCTCCTACAGAATGCCACAGCCATGCCTGCTGCACCTGCCACCGGTGCTGAAGTCCTCACCAATAGTCTGCCAGTGGGTGATGAAATTCCAAACTTCACTTCAAAACCTCTCCTCTGACAACTCCTCAAGCCAACTCTTTTAAGTCAGGTTCACTGGGGAACAGATCCTGAGACAGAGAATTGTATGGAGGTGGTTTATTGGGGAAGAGTCTCAGGAACTACCTCTGTATTGGAACAAAGGGAGCAGGACTGAGTAGAGGGAGAAAGTGAGCTCAGACACCACAGTTCAAGCTCAGCCAGTTGGTTTCACAGGAACCATGGGAGCTGGGCTGGCCCTTCAGAGTTGTCCAAACTGAGGCCAGGTGTCACTGGAGGTAGGCTGCCTACAGGTGGGAGCTTAAAGTCTGGAAGACTGTATTCTTCAGCCAAGGGCAGCTTGTGGAGGGAGACTCAGTTGTGAGGTAGCGAGAGGCAATATATACTCTAAGCAGATGTGGAAATGCCTCTGTCCCAAGGGGGAGAGCCTGGGCAGGATACCACGTTCTCCACTCCAGGGACCCTCACCCTCTTTGTGGCTAAAGGGCTCATTTGCTTGAAAGGCACCTTTAGGATAGAGAAGTAGAGAAAGCCAGCAAGGGGACCAAAGGAATGGCAGGGGAACTTGCCACGTAGGGCTAGCTCCATATTCAAGGTGACAAGGAAAGGGGAGGTCTCAGGAAAGTAGCTGAGGAATACTCAGCACAGTTGTTCTGTCCTAGAACACAGTGTGGGTCACTAGAAGTGGAGGCTGCTCTTGTTCCAACCCTCATGGGGATCTAAATAGACCACGGCACCCTGCCCCAATAAGGACTGGGATGTTTTTAATGAGCTCAAATATTAACAGTAGTGTTCCTGGATTGAAGGATTTCTGATTGTTTTAATGTTGCAAACTGTGTTTATCTGAATTATGAGAACATGTGCTATTTTACAATAATATTTAGATGCTCTGTGCAGATGAGGAAGGGAGAGCTCAGAGCTCTCTGATGTCACCCAGGAAGAAATGTGAGATTAAGTGGAGAGAAGATGACTAGAAGGTAAGATTTGGGCATCATGAGAAAAGGTGATGATTGCTTCCCTGGAGAGTGGTTAGGATGGCCTAGCAATACTTTGACTTTTAAGGGAGTCAAATGACAATAGGACATGATGGAATGGTGGACTGATAGCTTTACAACCGAATTTTGGAGAATGGTACCACTAGCGCCCTTCTAGCTTACTATTTACAAAAAACCCAGGAGGGGACGTTTAATTTGGAGGATATTGTAAAGCTAAAGAGAATAGATAACTATGTATTAGAGGTCAGTAAGCTTGACACAAGCTTGAAAAAATTTGTATCAGTGAGCATTTTTATGTAAAAGCAGTCCCTATTGTGAGAGGGGTTTAGATGACTAATCCACATGATGACTTATACTGTGTAGATTAGTCGTCATAACTTTTGACTAGACTCTTTATTTAAGTAGTTTTTAATTACTTAAGTTATATTTTAATTTTTTACTTATATGGCATTGTATATTATGACCCCAGTTTTCCAAAATTATTCCTATTTATAAAGCTATCAACTCTTGATGGCAATCTGTTTATAGGTTTAACATGACATCTAAATTGATATTCACCTATTGTGAACAATGATAATTTCTAACTAATAAGATTTGTGTTCATCTTTTACCTTTCTTTCTTGTTGTGCTGGGTACATTTTCATGAAGAACAAGGGAATTTTTTGTTTGGTTGGTTGGTTTTTCTCCTTCATAAAGAACATAAGTTATTATTCTTAAAGTTAAGAATTAAAACATTTTTAGTTAAAATGTAATTCAACCTGGACTTCAGTGTCAGACAAAGCTGGGTTCAAATCCTAGATTCATTATAGCCTGGTTATTTGACTACAGACAAGTTCTTTAGCCATCCTCAGCCATCATTTCAAGTGGTAGTCAACCTTGACTACCCACGATGCAGAGTTGCCACAAACCTATACTTTGTAAAAAACAAAGTATATGTGAAGCATAATCAAACAATCTCTGCCTGTATCATCAAAAAGATAAGAAATAACAAGTGTTGGCAAGGATGTGGAAAAAAGGGAATCCTCATGCACTGTTGATGGGAGTGTAAATTTTGTGCAACCATTATGGAAAACAGTATGCAGGTTTCTCAAAAAAACTTAAAGTAGAACTACCATGTGATCCAGCAATTCCATTCCTGGGCATTTACCTGACAAAAAACAAAAACACTAATTCAAAAAAATATATGCACCTCAATGTTCACTGCAGCATTGTTTACAATAGCCAAGACATGGAAGATAGCTGTGCCCGCTGCTCTACAAATGGGTGAAGTAGTGGTGTGTGTGTGTGTATGTGTATAACGAAATATTACTCAGCCATAAAAAAAGAATGAAACCTTCTCTTCTTTGAAAACATGGATGGACTGAGAGGGTATTTTGCTAAGTGAAATAAGTCAGAAAGAGAAAGACAGATTCTGAACAATTTCACTTATATGTGGAATCTAAAAAACAAAACAAATGAACAAATAAAACAGAAACAAACTCACAGATACAGAGAACAACCTGGTGGTTGCCACAGGGTTGTGGGGATGGGCAAAACTGGTGAAGGGCATTGAGAGGTACAAACTTCCAGTTATAAAATAAGTCATAAGGGGTGTAATGTACAGCATAGGAAATTCAGTCAATAATATTGTAATAACTTTGTATGGAGACAGACTTACCATGTGATCATTTCATAACATATAAAAATACTGAATCACCTATCATATACACTATTGAAGGCAATTATACTTCAATTTTTAAAAAAAAAAACTTTACACTATTTAACTGAAAAGTGTTCCTGTATCCACAGCCTACTGTGGATAACACTGGTGTTTTATTTGTTTTTGTTTTTGATAAAAGTTTGTCTGAATGAACATACTTGCCAATCTGTTCTTCTGTTATGACTTGCTATTCTGTATGGTGGTGCTGCTGGGACGCTCCGTGAATTGTTCTGAACTGTATTTCTAAACAATTAAATGTCTCCTTTGATGCCTTCAGTAATAGCAGGATGGAGCCTGATCTAGTCTTGGACCAAGCAGAGCTGGATATTTTTGTCCCTCATGCCAACCCCTACTTCCTCAGTTTTAGCTTGCAATAAAGCACCTCCCAGATCTTTGACCTTCTGCTGCCTTTAGAATAATCTTTATTTTTAAAAAAAGAGAATTCTTGTGTTTAAATAATCTGGGTTAGTTGCCCACATGGTTTTCCTTTTCATACCAATTTTTATTCTTTCTTTCATGTGGGTCTCACATAAAGACCTTTCTTTTATGTGGGTCTCACATAAAGACCAAAGGATCTCTGCTTTTTATAAGCCCAAGACCTGAAAGGCATTACCTAGCAAAACTTTCTAGCCCACAGTGCATCACAATACCCTCTGAGTGATGTAAAAGGATCAAGTCCTATAACTCTGCAGTGAGCCTTTGCAGTTCCTCCAACACCAGGAGGCAGCTAAAGTAACTGCTGTCCTCGGAGGACTGCTTTTAAGAACAAGGAGGCCTCCACCCACTGCAGCCCAAGCAGGTAACAGCTCTATGGTTGTTACTGCTCCTGCCTCTCTCTCCTCTCACTTCGTGATTGTATTACTAAATGGCCGGTTGCACTTTGAATGCTCTAGAGACAAGGAGCTCACAAGCTAAAGAAACTTAGTGGCAAAACATTTTGTAAAGCCAAGAATTCTGTTGAAAAGTGAACAGTCATACCTCTCAACTTTGAATTATTTGAATAGTTTTAGCTCAACTTTTTTTTCTTAGAAATAAGGTATGCTTGTATTAAGGTATCTGACCCTGTGTGATTCAAGAAGACAAAAGCTTCTTTTTCGTTTTTTGAGCTATTGAAAATAGTTGTGTTTTACATTTTGGTTCCAAATTTTTAGTTTAAGTATAAAAGTAGAATTATTTTTCATGTGTTGACTTTGTATCCTGTGATCTTGTTTAAAAAAAAAAAACAGTTGTTGTCTTTAAGAATGTATTTGTAGATTCCTTGAGATTTTCTACACAGACAATTACGTCATTTGTGAACAGGCAGAGTTTTCTTCCTTTCCCATCGGTCTGCCTTTCATTTCACTTTCTTGACGTATTGCACTGAATAGGACTTCCAGGACCACGCTGAGCAGGAGTGGTGAGAGTAATGGTCATGTTTCATTTCTGATGTTAAGAACAAATTAGCCTTTCCGCATTATGATGTTAGCTGTAGGTTTTTACAGATGTTTCCTATCAGGTTGAGGAAGTTCCTTCATGGCTTGCTAAGAAATATTACCATAAATAGGAAGATTTTATCAGGGTTTTGACTATGTTATTGTATTCTGATTTGATCCATAATATATTCTCTAAGACCAAAAAGTTGCTGAGAAAGTTGGCAAAATAAATCTCACATATTTGTTCCTGAAGTCAGCATGTTGAGTTTTAACGTTGAGGAAGTTTGCTGCAAGGTACATCTTTTATTCATTTACCTTAGTTCACCTTCTGAATATCAGCATTATAAAAATTTTTATTATTAAATTTTAATTTCTGTGCCTTGAGGGTATAACCATACTGATTTATGAGACAGCATTAATTAATGGAGGTGGCCAAAATCCTCCTAAGTAAGAGCCATGAAGATGCCTAAATCTTGACTCACTTTTAGGAAGGTATCTTAAGAAATAAATTGAAGAAGATCAAAATATATTCATGTAGATGTTCAGTATGCCCAAAATGTCCAACATTAGGGGACTGGGTTTCATAAATGACGGCACATTCTGTTACTCAATAAATACTTATTACAAGTCTACCACGTGCTGGTTATTATCTTTGGCCCTAGAGATGCAGCAGTGAACACAACAGACAAAGCTCCCTGCCCTCCTGGAGATCCCTCTCTAATGGGAAAGACAAGACAGAAACAGGATACATCAGTAAACATACAGTTTGGCAGAGGACGGTGAAAGTTGCAGAGAAAAATTAAGCATAGGGCACGGATAAGAAGTCCAGGGGTGGGAGTGGAGGAAGTACTATTTTAAACAGAGTGATGGGTGGGTCTCACCAAACAACACAAAAGAACATTAAATATCAGAATTCAGAATTTTTCATGATAAATTGCTACATGAAAACCAAAAAAAAAAAAAAATAGAATGTCTGCTGTGGTTTCAAGTATTTAAGTGTGTGTGTGTGTGTGTGTGTAAATAAATATATATATGTGTGTGTGTGTGTGTATATATGTATGTGTGTATATATGTATATATACACACACACACAGATATATATATAGAGAGAGAGAGAGAGAGAATGAAAATAGTTATTTATGGGTGGTTTTCATATTATTTTACAGCATTATTTACTCTGAGCAGATTGTATTTCAGTTTTAAAAAAAATGTCCAAGGTTTCCTAGGGTTAATATGAAAACCTGAATGAAAGGTAGGATGAAGGTATAGATAGAACTCCTGTTTGCTCTGGAAGAATTTTTTGAAGGAAACATCAGAGGGAGAATCTTCCATTAAGGCATCTTTTAAAACTATACATTTTAAAGAAAATAAAAGTTGCACTGTTCACGGTGCCGAGAACAACAGTTGTGCGATGTTGGTTGTGTGTTCGGACACGAATGCAAGTTTAACATGTGTTCATAATTGTTGCATTCGGATTTGGTATGTGATCCTATTTTTTAAGATTAACTGAAATAAAATGCACTGACATAACTTACTGCAAACTACATTTTCTTACGTGTTCAAGAGATGATAACTAATCACAAAAAAATGTGATTTGGTACTCTATACACATGGTAGAGGCACTCGCTAAAGGTGCAGAATGGCAATGTCACCATTTCCAGAGAAGGTCTTCTGATTATTCTGGAAACTTAGACTTAGACTTAAAGTGGGCTATTAATGTGTTCCTCTGAAAATGTTTTCACCCCATAGCCAAGTCACGGCCACCCAGGACTGGTGTTCCTTATGGTGCTGATTCAGAATTCCTAGGCACTGAGCAATCACTCTCTCATCAAAGGCACACTTGGTGTTGTCTTTGTTAGAAGCACAAATGTCCTGAATATCTTGCATTCTTCTCTCCAGCATGTCACTTTTAGTGAACCCAAATCCCAGCAGTCACCATGTTTTCTGAGTCTAAGCAAGAACTCAATTGTGTTTACTCAGATTTTTCTCTTTTGTTCTTTCTTCCTTTCTTTTTTGTAAATAATAACAGCAGTGATAAAAGTAAAAACACACTTTGTAATAAACAGGCTCTGCTGGATAGCCAAATTGTTCTGTTATAAAATAATCTTGTTTGAAATGTTTCAAGTTGCTTGAAAACACAGAGATGAAATAAAGCAGCCAGCTGGCCTGTGGACAGTAAGTTAACAATTTATAGAAGGGAAGAGAGGGAGGCATCACACTCTTTTCTCCAATTCTTTCTTCCTCCTGGTTACTGCTTGTCTGGGGACGTCCCAGTTTTGTTTTGGCTGAAGGTCTGGGTGCTCCGTGGTTGCTTCAATTTAGTGTAGTCATTAAGATTAATGCTGCTGGAGCCAGAGGGTTCTAACCTTGGTCCCTCGGAAGTTATTTTACTTCTCAGTGCCTCAGTCTTTTGTCAGTAGTGATAACACTTTGTAGGGTGTCTGAGATGCTCTTATGAGTTAACACATTTTCCCTGATACATAATACAAGCTCATAAGCAGAAACTCATATATTGTCCTTTCTCAAGGGTGCTTTTTAGGTTACAAAACACTCACAAATACATTTCTGCATCACTTAACCCTCCAGAAAGATATTGTAATTGTCAATATTTTGCAATCATCAGTCATCAATACTGTAAGGCATTAAGCAAATGCCTTAGTCTGTTCACACTGCTGTGACAAATTACTACAGGCTGAGTGACTCGTAAAGAACAGAAATTTCTTTCTCACAGATCTAGAAGCTTGAAGATGGAGATCGGGGGCCCAGCGTGGTCGGGTTCTGGTGAGACTCCTTCCAGGTTGCAGGCTGCCAACTTCTTGTATCCCCACATGGCAGACAGACGGCCAGGGAGCGCCCTGGGGTCCCTTTCATAGGAGCACTAGTTCCATTCATGAGGGCGCCACACTCATAACGTATTTACAGCCCCAAGGCCCCACCTCCACATACCATCACCTTGGGATTAGGGCTTCAACACAGGAATTTCAACATAGGAAATTCAACATATGAATTGCACACTCAGTTCACTGCAGTGTGGAAATGACTTGCCACAGGTCCAATGTCCTCTGGCTACATCATGTTTATGCAGATCAGAGGCCCAGCTATCTTTGCATATACGTAATATATATGCATAGTACAAAAGTCCTAAGGTGCACAAAAGGTAAACTGTAAAAAAAAGTAAGGCTTTCTCTTGCCTCTGTCCCCCAGGCACTCAGTTTCCTCCCCATTTGTAGACTCTTTCTCAAGTGAATATTTAGACAAGGTTTTCTGGGGCAAGTACTCTCCAGTGGACAGTCAGGTGCAATACGAAATTTTAGACTAGAAACATTATATATTATATGTTCAAATCTGGGGTCAGTATAGAAAACAGAAAGGGTTGGATGTAGATAATGAGGTGCTCACAAAATCATGGGAAGGGCTGGAGGAGCAGGCTCTGGGGAAAGCGCCCAGGAAGCTTCTAGAACACCTTCACAAAACTGACTCATTGTGGAAGCAGCTACATGTGTCCTGATCAGGAAACTACTTCCAAACAAGTGAGTTCAAGAACCTAGTCCCAAAGCCACCAGCACTGCCACTGCAGCCCCCCTCCACATTCACGCTTGAACACCACAACACAGCCTCCAGTGCTGCCTTCAACACTATCGCCTCTCAACACCCTCAAAGTTGGAGATTGGACACTAGCATTTCTGCTGCAGAAAGAGACATACCACATCATCACAGCCTTGCTTGCCAGTAAAACAAAGTCAAAGCAGCAGGACACAGCCTCTGTCTCGTTTTCATCTTCCAAATCTCGCTCAATGACATCTGATTGGAGGACCCTAACTCATTTCCAGAACTCTAGCTGTGAGAGAGTATGAAGACGCAGCGCTTAGCCTGCAAGCCGGTGCAGCAGGAAGGCGCCCTAAGAAGGACGAGGTGGAGGCTAAGTGCCCAACTCACACAGGACTCTTTATTTCTAAGGAAAGGTGTATCTACATGTATTGGCTTATGCTTTCCATTTCTTCTTGCTTCTTTAATAGTCTGTTTCCTTCCTTAAATAGTCTAGCAGAAGCTTTGGATAGTCCTTCTACTTTCAAGACAGACTTCGTAGTACCAGATAGCTCACGCCTGCAAATGTGTGTAAACTTGCAGCATGAATCTTCACTCTAATTTTTTTTTCCAGAATCCTATCCATCATGGCTGCCATCCGGCTACGAGAATTTTTTGACCGCCGCCCGGGGATCCCACCCAGGTAATGTTCTTCCAGATGAAGATGCCTCTAGAGCTGCAGCAGGGCAGACAGATGACACCTGGGGAACTGGAATTCCTCACCCTGCTGCTCCCTGACTGAGGGAGAAATGCTGCCAGAGATTCTAGTGAAGTTCCTTTGAGTTTAGAGAAAGTAGTAAAAAAAGGAAAAAAATCCCACATTCATGGCAGAATCCAAGCAAACAGGCAATTCCAAATTCCCAAACAATTAGAAGGATAGTGGGTTTTGCTTGGGAAGAGCTCTAGCAAGAAACCCAAGCCCAAATTTCAGAAGGGACCCATTTGCTCTGCTTGGGATAAAACAAACCCCTCCCACACTTTTGCAACATGGGGAGGCAACTGCACAGACGGAAACTAAGCAGAGTTTCACTCTTTCCCCAAGATCATCGATGGCCCAAGAATAAAACTCCTAGACATGTTTTAGTGTGCTAAATTCAACTTTCTGAGAGATACTGGGTAACAGTCTTAAATTCTAACCCCACCCTCCCTTCACCACTGGCTGTGGGGTCTTGCAAGGATTGGGAAGCTGTGGAATTGGGGCAGAAACGCTCACACAGCAAGTGACTTTGGGGTCAACCTCCCGCAGCCATATTGACTTTGTGATTTTGACCAAGCTTCATGTTTATTTCAGTATTTAGTTATTTTTAACAATGTTTAGTCAACAAAGATAAGTCCTTTTGCTTCCAGAAGTCACCGGAGGGGTGAAGGAAGGATGCTCCATTCCTAGATGCTTCAAGAGCCCTCTTAGAGAAAGCAGAGCACCTCTTCTTCCCTCCCTGTAACTCACATGTCGTGGGAGCAGGGTGGAGAGGAACAGGGATGGGTTCCACTATTTCCTGACTTCTGCCTCCCTACAAGTCCTCGGTCTTCCTGTGTGTGTTTGGCGTCTGTTTTGTCCACTGTTGGGCCTCTTTAACTGTGGTCTCATCTCCTGGGGAAAATGGAAACAAACCTTCATTGGCTGCTGCTGCCTGGAGTCAGAGTCCCGGGCCTGGCCCAAGCCTGGCAGTGGGGAGTCAGAGCGGGAGACGGCCCACTGTGCATGCACATGACCCTCCACCTGCAGTGCTCACAGTAGGGAGGATCTCTGTCCACTTTCTGTGCCTTTCCTGCCTTTGCAACAGTAGTGGGACCAAGCCTTCAGCAAGTTCCTCGGTTCTGCCCCCAGGATCTGTCTCCCATCGAATGCTTTTCTCCACCTCTACTGCCACCACTGGATCCAAACCACCATTGCCTCGTCCCCGTTCATCTACAACCATCGCCACTCTTGTCCTCCTACTATAATTCTCCAGAGTGAGCGCCATAAAACGCAAATGGGATCAAAGTCTTCTGTGGCACAAAGCTCTGCAACCATTTCATTCTGCATGAAACCCAAACCTGTGGCCAGGGCCAGCAAAGCCCTACATGAACTGGCCCTGCCTGGCTCTCCAGTCTTCTCTTAGCTCCAGCCCCACTGTCTTTCTTCCTTCCACAGGCCACACTCTCTTACCCCTTGGGGCTTCTGGTCTCGTTCCTTCTCCCTGGCTCACTGCCTTCCCCACCATCTCCTGCAGCCATACTCTGCTTACCTAGCCCCCTTCCACCCTTGCGGCTCAGCTCTGCTGTCAGCTCCCAGAGGGCAGATGGGGCCACCCTGACCATCCCGGCCGGGGGAGGTCTTCTCCTTCTGCCCCACTCTCTACCTTCATTATTCTCTATCTCACACCCTTTTTGGTTTCCTTTTGTGACTCTGGTCACAGCTTCCAATTATTTTGTGTTTATTTCCTGTCTGCCTCACCTCCTGGAATAATAGTTAACACTTGTGCAGCTCTTACTGGCAAGCACTGTTCTAAGTGCATATTAACTCATTTAATCTTCACAGCGACTGAGAGGAAACTGAGGCACAGAGTGAGAAAGTAACCGTCCTGAGATTACATAGTAGGAAACTGGCAGAGGTAGGGTTTGAACCCACTAGTCCAGCGCCAACACCTGCACTCTTGGTCACTGCCCTTGACACCTCTGGGTCAACCCCAAGGGCAGGGCTTGTTTGTCTGTCCACACCCCGCCGGCGTAGGCCACTTTCCCTAGCAGACTGCCACATTTGGTAGGTCCTTTGTGCACATTTGTTGGAAAAATAAAAATGAATGAATCAATGAGAAAAACTCATTTCTGTCATGTCTTTGCGGTTTGGCCTCCTGGGGACTGACAGTACCTGCAGAAGGCCTGCCCTCTGCTGCTCCTCTCTGGAAGCATTTATCCTGTTCATCCTTGAGTGCCTAACCCTTGGGCTAGAGGAGGGAAAACTGGATTACAAACCAGTAGGGGGCACCTAATAAAATTAAATATGAAACGGTTCACAAGTAGCATTGACCACACTAAAGTCTCATAATAAGAAATATATCAGATGCAAATTTTATTACCCCTGTCGCTCAGGGGCAAGGCTGAGTTCTGGGCTGGTTGGTGGAGCCCAGGATGCTCCTTGAAAAGATCACTTCAGTTGGACTAAACCCAGTGTGGTGTGGAAGATAATGGATGTGGAATTCATGTCAGACTGAAATGGATTTTTAAAACACCGACTGAAGCAGTCTGTGAGAGATCAGGGGGCAGCTGTGGGCGTCAGACCTTCCTGCCTTGAAGGACAGCAACATCTAACACGTAGGCGATACTTTCGTCCCCAAGGACGTTTACACATGACTTGTTGACTCTCATGCAATCATCATGAGATAGCATCACCCCCACTTTACTGGTGAGGAAACTGGGGCTCCCCTCTTCCTTGAGGAGACACTGTGGTGCCAGTAGAGACTGGGGGATGAGAGCATGGGGATGCTGGTCTCCCACCTTCTGTGCTTATTAGCCCATGTCTTGGTAAGCTACTTATTCCCCTGAGCCTCCATTTCCTGAGTGGTACAGCACTCACTGCATGCTATATATTGGTTAAGGAATATGGCTTTTATTACCAGATGGTGAACTCTCAGGTGGAAAGGCAATATTCACCGTCACTGCGTCCCTAGCTAGCACACTGCAGACACTTCAGAGCCTGAAATAAGTTTTAGTGTTTGATTAAATTGAGAGCAGCTTCTGGTTACACTGCCATGTCTGCTTCTCCTCCTATTCCTTTGGTACCGGACACCTACTTCCTGTCTGCCTATGAGTGAGGCATCAGAGTTCACGCAAAAATAACACTGAACTCTTCGGAAGTCAGCGCACAAACCCAGAGATGGCTCTGGCTGTGACGTGGAGTTTAGGAAACTGGGTTTGATTCATGCTTCCGGCGTTTATCAGCGGGTGATAGAAAGTCCACTTAATTTCTCTGAGCCTCAGTCTCCTCTTCTGTAAGGAGGTGTTGATCATGTTTCCCTGGCAAGGCGACTGTAAGAAGGAGATGAGATCATCTCTGTAAAGACGCTTTGTAATGCAGGAGGCCCGACGCAGATGTAACGGCTGCATCATTAGGGTAGCACGGGCCACCTCAGGCCCTTGAGGGATGACCACTCCTGACCCCTGCTGTGCTACTGGATTTTGTCTGGGCTAAGCCCGTATCCTGCTCCGGTTACATTCACCCCACCAGGGGACAGGTTTGCTCTTGTCTGGACTGAACGTATCACCTCAAAGAGCCAAGTTGTCAGGGACTGGTAAACACTGTGCGGTGGAATCAGGCGCACCTGGACTCCTGCTCCCACCCAAGGAGAAGGAAAGGCCTTTCTACAGCTGCTTCAGGGACCTTGAAAGCCAAGTCAATAAAATGGTCTAGAACACCCACCTGCGTACACACTTTCCTCTCTCTCCCCTCCAAAACCTCCCAAGAGAGACGCCTGGGGACTTCAGGCAGGGCGTGTTACCTGGTGCTGGAGAACGGCTTCCATTCTCAAAACAGCGTGTACATCCTGCTTCCAAGGAGCGGTGCCTGCGTCAGCCCTTGGATTCAGCAGGTACTTCTTATACCCACCCCAGTGAAGAACCCACAGTCAAAGCACAGCCCAGTTCAAACTGGACAGCAGCTGTGGGAAACCAGTCACTCTGGAGCTCCAGCTGGAAGCCTAGCAAAGCAGAACATGCCTGTTGGGTAATCTTTCCAAGGTGGGGCTCAGAAACTGGATGGGGGCCCGAGAAAGCTGTGTCTCCTACTCCCAGGACGTCAGAAACGTCATTTGTTCCCCATTATGGTGCCAGTTCCTCTTTCTTCTTCTGTCTTAATCCCCTACTGCTATTTACTATTCAGGGCTCAGTCATATTAGCCCAGCCACTGGGCAGGCCCAGACAGCCTGTGGTTTTTCTGAAAATCTGAGCTCCCCGAGGTCCTGTTTGAATAGACAGACAGACCCACCCTGCTTACAGCACTTGCCTTCCATGCTAGCTCGATAGCAAGGTCCTCCCTGGCCCCCACACACACTCCTCTGATCCCAACTTTGTCCAAGTCTTGACTTCTATAATTCCCTCCCCCTCCCGTTTACTTGCCAAACCCTAGACACCCTTCCCTTGTGCTTCATTGACCCTTTATTTTAAATTTGTTTGAGGAGAGGCAAAGTAATTAGGCTTATTTATTTGCTTTTTAATGGAGGTACTGAGGATTGAACCCAGGACCTTGTGCATGCTAAGCATGCGCTCTATCACTGAGCTGCACCCTCCTCCTCCCATTGACCCTTCATTCAGATCACTATTTCCGCACATGAAGAGCATCATGAGGTCAAGGACTGCTTCTCAGTCAGTTTCGAATCTGCGAACCTCACACATGCAGGAAACATTATGTACATTCAATAAATGCTGTTTGGCCGGGAGGCATAGTTTAAGTTCCAGGCATCATCAAAACTATGTATTTGGCGAGCTACTTCATGCAAAACTACATACTACTTCCTACTGACCCTTCCCCTTGAATTCTTATGACACTTACTAAGCGCTCAGAATCTGCGGAAGGAAGGTGCCGGAAGATCTCACATACCACAAACGCTATAGTCATCCTCTCGACAGGTCTCACCTTCCCATGTTCCCTCTCCTGGAAAACAGCAGCGCTCTGCCCAACACCTGATGCCTCCGCCTTGTCTTGGACCCTTCCTTCCTTTTCACCCTCCTTCCTCCCTCCTGATAGCAGCCTCAGTCAGTCCTCTCCTCCCTACCACAAAGTTCCAAGTTTCCCACGTCCCACATGCATCACTACCACTGCCTCCCAAACCAGTCTTCCTACTTCCGGTCAGATTGTCCTCAGATTTGTTTTCCACGCTGCCACTGGCCAAATCTTTCTTTAAACAGTTGCCTTACATGATTAATCTTCTTAAAAATCTTGCAGAAATTTCCTATCTCCTACATCAGTGGTTTTTCAACCTTTCAGACAACACACTCCCTTTTTCCCTTAACAAATATTTTATCATATCCCTACTACTCTGAAATAAAATCTGTCTCAATAACATCATCCAACTACACCTAATTTTAAAATATCAATATAATGCTATCACTGTAATCTAAAAGAAGAGTGATTAAATATAAAATGCGTTTCAGAGTGTAACGTTGGGGCACCTCTAGCCCTTGCCCCCTCTCCCCCGACCCCGCTGGGTTTCAGCTGTCCACACCCTGCTCGCCTTCACGCCTTAGAAGCACTTCCTCCCACTGTCCATCCGGTTCACTTACGCTTGCGCTTCCAAACTTCTGGTAACCCAGCCCTCACAGGCAGGGCCAGAGTCCCTCTGCCAGGCTTACAGGCGCCTTGTGCTCTGACCTTCACAATGCCTTTTCATTTTTAGCCTCAATATGCTTATCAGAGTTTAAAAAACAAACAAACGAAATATTGAGGAAGTCTGTAAAAATATCAAAAGTGAAAAAATAAACTGTAAAGAAGCCCCATTTACCCATGCCCATCTTTCAACAATTATCAACATTTGCCTCACTGGTCTTACATATTCTCTTTTTTTTTTTCCCCTGATATTTTGAATGTAATACCTGACATGTCAGAGAGTTCCTTATGAATCCTGAAAACTCAACCCTGAAAAAAATGGGTAACAGAAGACACTCCTATCAAGAGAGTCCAAGGATTTTAGGAGCTTTGTGCCAGGAACTGGGGATAAAGACTGAATGTATTTTTTATTTTACCACAGCTGGTATTCCTCTGTAAAGAACTAATCATAATAACTGCTTTTCTCTCACCACCTTACTTTCCCCACTAGTATATTCATCCCCCATCAAGGAAAGGATCTCCAAGGCTATTACCCTGGGCAGCTCGCAAGAGTCCATTATGATTATACTGTGAAGAGATCTCCCAGGTGAGACACCTTCTTAAATTTTAATTTCCAAAAATTTCACTAAAATTGGAATAAATAAAAAATAAGAATCACAATTTGTAATGATAATAAAAACAGTCTTAATTACTATTATGTAATGGATAGAAAAGTTTGGCAGGAAATACGACAGACTATTAACAATGGTTTCTTTTATGAGTGGTGAGATATAGATATTTGTATTTTATTTTTCTCTGTTTTCCAGATTTTTCCAAAAAGTACATGTATTACTTTTAAAAAATTTTTGTTGAAGTGTGGTTGATTTACAATGTTAGTTTCAGGTGTACAGCCAAGGGATTCAGTTATACATATAAATACATATATATTTTTTCTTTTCAGATTCTTTTCCATTATATGTTATTACAAGAAATTGCATATAGTTCCCTGTTCTATACATTAGGTGCTTGTTGTTTATCTATTTTAAATATAGTAATAGGTGTCTGTTAATCTCCAACACCTAATTTATCCCTCCCCGCCTTTTCCCCTTTGGTAACCATAGTTTGTTTTCTAGGTCAGTGAGTCTGTTTTTGATTTGTAAATAAAATTTGTATCTTTTTTTAGAGTCCACATATAAGTGATATCATATGGTATTTGTCTTTCTGTCTGACTTACTTCACTCAATATGATAATCTCTAGGTCCATCCACATTGCTACAAATGGTATTATTTCATTCTTTATAAGGCTGAGTAACATTCCATTGTGTGTGTATATATATATATATATATATATATATATATATATATATATACCACATCTTCTTTATCCAGTCATCCGCTGATGGACATTTAGGCTGTTTCCATGTCTTGGCCATTGTAAATAGTGCTACTATGAATATTGGGTGCTTGATAACTTATATTACTTTTATAATTAGCAATAAAAATTAAGTTTTATTAACCCATTAAAGAAATTTAAGAAATATCATGAGTTTAGCATTTTAACTTCCTGAGACTCAATTTCCTCCTCAATAAAATTACAAATTTTGCCTAAATGATTTATGCCTTCCTGTATGTGATTTTAACAAAAAGGGAAAAAAAATGGCCCTTTGATGTTATTTTCTAGTTTGAGGAGGCTGGAAACCACAGCACTTAAAGCAGCAATCTGAGTAACTTAGGAAATGTTTAATCTTAGACAATTTTCATTCCTTCTCTGAGAATCAGTTGTCTTATCTGTTAAATAAAATAATTGATGTAAAATTCCAGACTATAGGAAAATAAAAATTGCTATCATCATCTAGTATATCTTACAAACTTCTTTTCTTCTCTTAATTGCATTTGATATAGTCATGTCCTGACTATTCTCCAAAGAAAAGGAGACGTGGCAACTATAAAGCAGCACATAGTCCAAACGTAATAGGCGATCAAACTGGAAATAGCTTTAGAGGACATTCCGATCTAATTAGATAAACAACGCATAGCCCAGAGAAGTGACACGTCTTGCCTGAAGGATAGCTGGTTGTGTAAAAGCTGGGACGTGAATTGATCCACATTTTCTGCTTCCCAGTTCTAGACTCGTTGTTCTAACTCAGATACATACTTACATTAAACTCCTGTTAGGGTGCTGTCCCCTGCCAGGGGAAACCAAAGAAGGAAACAGCCGAGCCCTACTGCCTGAAGCCGGCTCCCCAGGGCACTCCCCACGTGTGTTCTGTGGACTCTGACCGTTCTCCTAACTCCAATGCCTCACCCTCCTCCTCCTGCCACAGGACAGCTCAGGCAAAGGGAATCTTGACTTTCCTTGACTCTGACAAGACTTGTGCCTGCCCAAGGTTAGCCTTAGAGAAACTAATGGCTTACCTTCCTCAGATATATTCCTCCAACAACTTGATGGAACTAAAGTCTCTCCTTTGAGTGAAAATCTTGTCTTCAGAATACTAATGTATTACTTGAAAATGGAGCATATTCTGGTTCTGGAGAAACACCCAGAGCAAAGGCAGAGAAGGTGCCAGTCCAGCAGGGGTAGGTCTAGGGGCAATCGCCAGGGTCTGGTTCAGAAGCCACAGCTGTCAATAGCAAAGAAATGACCAGACTGAGTGACAGTCACACAGAACCCAAACTCACAAAGAGACTGACACATTCATCAGACAGCTAATGTTTTGATTGACAGCAGGAGACAAGCTTTTGTAGGGAAAGACGTGCTCCTGCCCACCATATAAGGTACCCACTTTACAGGACCAAGTACCTATTAAGCACAAAACAATAGCAAGTAGGAGGGGAAGGGGGTGGGAAGGGATCAATTGGGAGTTTGAGATTTGCAGATACTGACTAATATATATAAAATAAACAACAGTTTTATACTGTATAGCACAGGGAACTGTATTCAGTATCTTGTAACCTATGGTGAAGAAGAATATGAGAAAGAATGTATGTATCTCCCTATTGACTGAAGTATTATACTGTACACCAGAAATTGATCCAACATTATAAATTGACTGTACTTCAATAAAAATATATTTTAAAAAAACAATAGCAAGTAGAAGTGGGAGGGAATTCTTGGTTCACCTCCACACTTATCCACACAGAGCACCTCTCCGCCCATCCGTTGTCACTCCCCTTTCCAGTACCACACACACATACTCAGATTCTTGTCATAAATTAATTGACCATATATGCATGGATGTATTTCTGGGCTCACTGTTCTGTTCCATTGATATATATGTTTATTTATATACCAATACTATATTATTTTGATTATTATAGCTTTATAATTCAGTTTGAAATCAGGAAATGTGATTTTCCAGCTTTGTTCTTCCTCAAGATTGCTTTGGCTTTCTGGGGTCTTTTGTGATTCCATACAAATTTTAGAATTATTTGTCTATGTCTGTGAAAAATGCCATTGGAATTTTGATATGAATTGCACTGAATCTGTAGATTGCTTTGACAGTATGGAAATTTTTACAATATCAATCCTTTTGATCTGTGAGCAAATAATACCTTTATATTTATTTTTCTTCAATTTCTTTCATCAGTGTTGTAACTTTCAGTGTACAAATCTTTCACCTCCTTTGTTCAATTTATTCCTGAGTATTTTATTATTTTGATGAAATTGCAAATGGGGTTATTTTCTTAAGTTCCCTTCCATATAGTTTATTATTAGTGCATAGAAGAAACAATAGATATTTTATATTTATTTTATATCTTGAAACTTTACTGAGTTTGTTTATTAGTTCTAACACTTTTTTGATAGCATCTTTAAGGTTTTCCATATATAAGATCATGTCATCTGCAAATAAAGACAACTTTACTTCTTCCTCTCCTATTTAAATGCCTTTTATTTATTTTTCTTGCTTAATTACCCTGGATATGACTTCCAATACTATGTTGAATAAAAGTGGGGAGATTGGCATCCTTATCTTGTTCCTGATCTTAGAGGAAAAACATTTCATCATTGAGTATGATGTGAGCTGTGGGTTTGGCATACATGGCCTTTATTATGTTGAAGTACATACCCAGCTTGTTGAAAGTTTTATCATAAATGATTTTGAATTTTGTCAGTGCTTTTTGTGCATGATGATAATATGATTTTTCTCTTTCATTTTGTTAATGTGGTGCATGACATTGATTGATTTGTGGATATTGAGCCATCCTTGCATCCTGGACTAAACCCCCTCAGTCATGGTATATGATCCTTTTAATGTATTGTTGAAATCCATTTTCTAATATTTTGTTGATTGAAACCTTTTTTTCTATAACAGCTTTATTGAGATAATTCACATACCATATGATTCATTCATTTAAACTGTACAATTCAATCTTTCTTTAGATAAAATAATATATTGTGGACTTTCTTCCATCTCAAAAATTATAGTTCTACAGCATCACTTTTAATGGTGGAATGGCATTCCTGTCTGTGGTAATTCCTTATTTTTTCCCATATAAAGGTTGTTTCCATTCTTTTTAATTATCATAAAAATACTTTGGCAAGCAACTTAGAGCTAAGTCTTTGTTGATATTCCTAATTTCTGGGGTTTCTAGGACAACATATATACACATTTTAAACGTATTATTACATATCACTGAAGTGTTCTCAAACAAATTGCACCATTGAATGTATACTCCCACAAGTGTATGAAAATATTTCGGTATTACACTTACCTTCACCTTCAGAGGTTAGTCATCTGAGTGGAGGTACAGGAAGGGTTTATCAATTTCAAGTTCATCGAATACCAGTACACACCATACCATAGTGGTTAGTCTAGTCAAAAGAAAGCACTGGTTCCTTGATGGAACCAAACATCCATAGAAAAATTACATTCCAAAGGAGCACTGAGAAGGTCTGGAGTATGGGAAGGTCTGGAGTATGGGCAGTAGCCATGCATGAGCAGATCCAGTGGAAGTTTTGATGCAGGTCACCTTCTGTGACCTGTGACTGGGAAGGAGGAAGGATGTTAAAGGGAAGAACAGGCATCTGAAATTCCTGAAATCCCACCTACTGACAACTTTGCTGGGGTTAGCCTTGGAGTTATGGGGTATTGCCAAGACTATCTAGGTAGTCTCCTGGCCACTTCTGGAGAATGGATTTCAGCTGATGAAAAAAATGGAATGTTTTTCTTCTACTGCATGAGTATTCAGCAAGCTGTTTCTATTTTCATTTAGACCTCTCATAGACTTGGAAATTCCATCCAAGAGAAAAAGTCAGTATCAACCTCAATTAGACCAACAGACTCTCACTAGATATATTTGTTTTCGAAGACATTCAAAGCCTGCTGAACCATGGTATAAAGAAACCACTTACCAAAGAGACTATTCTCTGCCATTTTACAAGATTGGTAAGTCAGATCAAGTGCTCTGACTCTGAGATCAACCTTGCCTGCGCCACAGATGAGCATCTCCCTTGAGCATCTTGCCATCTCAGGGAGCATGTCTGGGACCAGTCACATTGGGGAGAGGAGTATGTGTGTGTTTGGGTGCAGAAAGAAGAATTTAGAGATCTACACCTGGGCTGCTTCCTCCTTTCCTAGCTCCCTGTACGGGAGACATCAAGGATGAAAATGCATAAATGTTCTCGGCAGGAAGCAAGCCTAAGTCTGCCCACTCCTTGGGCCTTCTTGTCACTCAACACATTTGTTATTGTGACTAAACATACTGCTGAGGGGGCCTTCCCCCCATTCAGCTATTTTAAATGGGTTTATGACAATTATTCAACGTTGGGAGTTATGTTTCAAAAACTCCAAATTCCCTTTTTCTCTATGCTGCAGCATGTGTGAGTGGACTGAGGGCCCAAGGCTCCCCAAGATATGATCCTGGGGGTACACACAGACAGCAGTTTAAAGACTACCTGTATTCCAGGGGGAAGATATAGCTCAGTGGTAGAGTACATGCTCAACATACGTGAGGTCATGGGTTCAATCCCCAGTGTCGCCATTAAAATAAATGAACGAATGAATGAGTGAATTGATCAATCTAATTACCTATAGTCATTGATGCTTTGAATTTTAGTCACAGAATGAATTACTTCATTGACAGACTTTTTAAATTACTATACCCCAATATTTCTAGGGCTCTAACCCTGTGGTAGGCACATATTTTGTCCTTAAAACAGCTCTCTGAGGTAAGTGACAGTATTCTCCCCACTTTACAGGGGCTGAGTTGCAGAGACAGTTAATTCACTAGCCCCAAATCACCCTGCAATACATGGAAGCAGAATTCAGACCCAGGCCATTTCAGACACAGAAGTTAGCTCCAGGCCAGGCTCTGGGCTTGATCTTTAAGCTGGATAGCCTCTGTCACAGCTGAGCATCCCTTGTCCTACTATTTTCTTTAAAGCGAGCCATTTTTTTTAAAATAAAAAATAAGAAACCTAGTGGAAAGATGGTGTGGAGGAGTGGCATAAGGAATGGGAAGAATCTGCCCTGCCTTCTTTTCTCCCCAGCAGGGCTGGGACTGATTCAGTTCCCAAGGCAGCAGCACACAACTGGAGTTAGGAAGAGTGGGAACCTGACAGGACAAGGCAGATCTTGGGGGAGCTGAGCCAGGCATACGGGTGGTAATAGATGAAGCTGGGACTGGGGCTGGAGATGGACAGTTCAGGATAAGAGGTTACAAGCAGGGCAAAGCCGGGTTCTGGGAGGGGAGGGGAGGTTGGAGCCTGAGAAGAGAGGTTGCTGAGGGGAGGGGAGGAGGGCTGAGATTAAGTCATTTGGAGGAGGAGGGGCAGAATGGTAGCAGTTAGGGTCCCTCACCCTGGGAAGGTGAGGTTAAAGGGAGCCGGGGTGAGATGGGGGACACTGCCAGGTGCTGGGGAGAGGTTGAAAAGATGAGGTGGTCAGGAAGTGTCAGTGGGGTTCCTGTCCCTGTAGAATAAGCAGAAAAAAAAAAAAAACCAAGACTGATCCAATGTGAAATCTGATTCCCTTGCATGAGGGAATCTAAGTAGCCTCTAGTTTCCAAAGTGATAGTAAACACTTCATTACAGTTCTCCTGCTGTGTGAAAATCCTGTTAGACAGACACAAAAGGTTTCTCCCTTGCTTATTTTAGAAGACAATTCCTAATTCTTTCCAAACCTGAAGAACCAGATGGATGTTTAGCAAAGTAATATTTACCGTCTACTATGTCCCCACATGGGCCAGGTGGGGTGAAGTAAAAGGAAGTCCAGTCTGTGACCTCAGCCACAGGGAGCTCACAATCTAATTGGGAAGATGAAGGAATAATCAAACTATCAGAGAATCATGAAGTACCAAGTAGGGGAGCAGAAGTTGAAAGATGAGGTCACTTGGGGCCTCAAAGAGCCAGGAAAGCAGCATGCACCAGTGGGGAATTAAACCGGGCCTGGACGGATAAGATTTGCATGGTGGAGGCAGAGAACAAACTACGGTTACCAGGAGGTAAAGCAGGTGGGAAGGGATGAATCAGGAGTTCAAAATTTGCACCTGTTGGGGAGTGATGTAAATGTTAGCTATCTTGATTGTGGTGGTGGTTTCATGGGTGTGGACAGCTATCAAAATTCATCAAACTGTACATCTGAAATATGTGCAGTTTACTGTACAGGAACCATACCACAATAAAGGTGTTAAAAGGAAAGATAAAAGAAAACTTGATGCTATTGGTAAAAACTAGAGTCTGTGAAAGGCTGATTAGCCCTTACTTAAATTGTAACTATGTGATTTTGTATTAAAAAGCCACATAAGTACAATTCCTGACAATAGTAAAATAGTCTGTGTTATAAAGTTATAAACGTAAAAAAAAAAAGATTTGCACGGTGAAAAACCGGGGGAAACCCCAGATGGGAACACTGTAACAGGAGCAGTGGATAAGGAGGAGGAGGAGGAGATTTGTGGGGAGTGGGAGAGCAGGGAGGCCCCCAGCCGTGAGGACCCTGGCCTGACTGGGCAAGGCAGACCAGGGAGTGGGACATACAGTGCGGACTGGCAGAGCAGGAGAGAATGCCTGGACTGAAAGGAGCTGCAGGAGTTTGGAAAATTGAATTTGGACAACCAGAGCCGTGGTCCAATCAGAGTCAAGAGAGTGACCCAGTCAGGATCAGAGGATGCTGGTCTGTCAGGCTGCTTAGCCTGGGCTGGAGAAGACACAGGCAGCAGGTGAGGAGAGCAGCTGGGAGGCTGTGGCAAGACCACAGGACGCAGCTGAGTGAAGCAGTGAGCAGGATTCAGGCCTTGGGGGGCCCTAAGGGCCTGGCACACTCTAGCTATGTGGGGTTGGCCAAGACACTTGACTTCCCAAACCTTTTTGTGGCTCTGTAAAATGCAGAGTCAAAGTCTGCATTATAGGATAGTTGTTAGAATTTAAAATATCTGTCATAGGCCCCAAACTCTGCTCAGTGACTTATTCACACATGTGTACACACAGTCATGGCTGCAGTGAGTCATCATAGCTTCCTCAAAGGAGACACTGTTATGAACTCCATTTAGCAGAAGAGGACACAGGGGCTTAAAGACATAGAAACCTACTCAAGAAGGCAGCTGGTAAGCCATCAGTTTAGACTTAAGTTCAAAAGTCACACACAGCCAGCCCTGAATCAGTGTGTGAGGGGAGAACCCAAGGCAGGGATACCGGGAGGCGGGGAAGAATCATTGGGATCCACCTTGGAAGCTGGCAACCAACCATAAGACAATTCAGTCATTGAGTGAACACCCAGTACAAACCAGATTCTGTGCTGTCTGCCGAGGGTACAGTGATCAGGATAAACAAGACATCTGCTTTCCTAGAGCTGACATTATGGACAGGCAAAGAAAGCATAACCAGGTACACTTTTTTAAAAAATTAGATGGTAGTAGGGCTGTAAAGGGAATAAACAGTGATGAGTGTAGCTAAGGGAGGTTACTTTTATTAGTGCAGGCAGGGAAAACCACTATACAATTTTAGCTGAGCCCTGGAAAATAAGAATGAATCATGTAAAGAACATTTCAGGAGAAATAAACAGTAAGTGCTAAAGCTTGGCAGCTGGAAAGGGCTTGGCAGGTTTGAGGAACAGAAAGGAGGCCAGTGTAGCTTGGTGGGTCTTCAGTGAGGATAAGAGCAGTAAGATGTTTGGATTCTCTTCTAAGAGCAATGGAAAGACTTGGAAGAATCTTGAACAGAGGAGTGACACATGATTTGTATTTTAAAAAATGTCAGTCTGGCTGTGGTTAAGAGAGAAATAAACATTGTTTGGAGAGAAACAAAAGGGAGGGTGTGCAGACCAAACTAGTAGTTGAGACCAGAGATGATGGTGGCTTGGACCAGCAGGAAGGATGAAAAAGAAATAAATGGGTTCCAGGGACATTTTGGAGGTGACATCAGGTGGACTTGGTGATAGATTTGATGTCAAGTACATTTTCACTCATTTTTACATATTCTTTCAGTAAATAATTTGAGAGCCTACTTATATGCCAGTCAGTGTGCAATACCAGGTGAGAAAGAAATAAACACAAAGTTTCTACATTCAAGGAGCTTCGGTGGGGAACCAGCACAGAAATCAGCATAAAATTTCACCTGCCATAAGTCCTATGAAGCAGAGTACAGGAGGTGCTATAGCAGCATATAATAGGTCAGAAAAATGATGAGGTGAGAGCTGAAAGATGAGCTAAAAGTAAACTATGCAAGGAATGGGGGAAGAGCTTCTCAGGGAGTACAGCATGTACAAAGGCACTGTGGTAGGATCATGACATGTTTGAGGAAATTAAAAGAAAAAAGTGAATGTGTTGGAGCACAGAAATCAATAAGGGTGGAGCAGGATGTGACCAGAGAGGCAGCAAGATCAGAACAAGTAGGGCTTCACAGGCCATTTTCAGGTTTGGGGACTTTAGCCTGAGATTAATGAGAAACTAGTGAAAAGTTTTAAGGAGGGTGGAGGGAACTTGATTAAAATTGCATTTTGAACAGATTACTCTAACTGGAGAAAAGAAGCAGGCAGGATAGGGAGTAGAGTGGGGCAAAAATTGAATATGGAGAGTCAGGATGTAATTGCAGTAGTTAGGATGAAGTTTCTTAACCTTGGCTACATCACTTTTTAAAATCCAGATGCACTTAATACTAATTAAGTCAGAATCTCCTGGTGTGAGGGAGGAGTTTCCAAGCATCAGTGACTTTTAAAATTACCCAGATAATTCCATCGTGCAGCCAAGTTAGGGACCAGTGGTTTAGGCAACTGATGATGGGAAATTTAGATGGATTTGAGAGAGACTTAGGTGGCAATTATTTTATAAACAACATCAATCAAGTAGGCAAAGGCTGGTCTGCCAGGGACCTAACAGAGGGTTGCCACAAATCTGAGCACTTGACAGGGAAAGGAGCAGGGACTGGATTGAGCTTTTGTTGAATTTGAGAAACTGACTCTTTAGAGGAGTATTTGGAGGAAGGGATTTTCACAGGATAAGATAAAGTAAATATTGTTGGTTGTTTATCAAAGGGTAAGTTTGGTTTTTTTTTTAAATCTTATCCATTTGACCAGTCTTTGTCATCAGATTTTCAGGGCAGAGCGTATGTTTAGATTAGCAATGATTTGTATTTCACGTTCAGTTCTTATTTCTTATTTGGGAATGACTGAAGAACAGATTCTATATAGATCATGACAGATCATAGTTATTACCTTAGAAATTCTCACTCAGTAAAAATGTTTCCTCAGCACATAGATGTTCACTTATTTATTTAGGAAATATTTATTAAGTACTGATTATGAGCAAGACACAGTGGAAGACATGAAGACTCTGTTATGAGCCTGGGAGGGTGAGATGGCCCCTCAGATGAAAGTTGCCCTGATTTTATGCAACCTGGTGCCAAATAATTCAAAAAAATTCATTCTTCCAAAATAAAATATATGCTTTTTGTAGCAATGTGACTCATAGACTCTCTGACCTTCCATTTTCTCACGTGCAAAAAGGATAAAAATAGTATCTACCTAATAGAATTGATATGTCCACTTAAAGACTCTAGCATTGTACCTGTACATAACATTAAAAAGCCTCCAAAAATGTTAGCTATTATTATTATTATTGATCAAGAATAAACATAATAAATATTTGTTTTAAAAAACCTAATAAAAGAGAATTACATCTTATACTGGGATTTATTTCTTAAATCAGTGCATAAGCTATTAATCACATATAATCAAAGTCATCATTTAAATTTCTTAAATTGCTCAAAATGATAATATTAAATGATATTACATCATTAAAGTGTTTGGAACACATGGGATTCTTCAGCAAGTTGGTTAAATTTTATCTTTGGTTCTCAATTAATTCTTCACTTTATTTTTCAGTGATGACTTTCAAAGCCATCACCACAAATCCACATGAACAATAATTTCCCTTTGTCAAACGATAAGGAAATCCAAAAAATCATATCACAAGTTCTTTCCATAGTATTCCCCGCCCCCAAATCTGTACAGTATAGTTCAGGCTTGATAGCATCCACTACTTGTGGACGTATGTACTCACTAAGTGCAATGGCAGAAGGAATCCCCCCAAAATGTTGCTGTGTAGTCTCAAAACATTTATTGTAGAATTTACCTGGTTAAATGTGTATATGATTCAGCTCCATGATAACTTCTACAACAAGGATCACTAAGGCTGTTAAGTAGTATTCCTAACACTTCTGAACTACTTTCATATAGTTCCCTGGAATACAATGAAATCCCCTATAGGTCAGAGTTACTGTTTAACCCAACAGTAAACTTCGAGAAGTCACATGGTTACTGACTACAGATAAGATCACACTTAATTAAATTAGATTTTTAAAGTCTTACAGAGATGGCAGATTTTAATGCCTGGGTTAACAACATGTTACCCATTCTTAATATCAAGAAATGTTTCTTTCTTTCCATGCTGTTGAAGTGCTGTGGAAGGTGGAATAGAACAGTGAAAAGATTAGGAACTTTGGGGCCTGCTAATCCTGGGTGAAATGTGGGCTCTTCCCACAAATTCTGTAAACTTGGGCAAGTTAATTAATCTTTTTGAGGTGGTGATGATGTCGGTAGCCTCTGAGGGTTACTGTGAATAATAGGGTTAATTTAAGTAACACACCTAATACAGGACATAGCACTGTATGTGATAAAGTTTGATTACAGCTCTATCATTGAAACGCTCTAGTCTTTGGTTCATTAGGTATAGATGTGATGACTGCAGTATTCAACCCAAGCTCCTTGAACCTTACCTTTAGATAAGCAGAACTGTTACTGATTGTAGACAAGGGGTTGTAAGACATGAGGGGACTCCAATGGGTATGAATTTAGGGCTAGTAACAACTGTAGTTTAATACAAAAGATGATCCAAAGTGGCCTGTTTATAATGTAGGGTTTAAAGAGGGTTTTTTTTTTTGAGGGAGTGTCTAGAATTAGGATGTCAAAATGTAAATTTATTTCATTTTATTAACATTTTGGCATAATTCAATAGTATGTCTTGATCAGAGACTGAAGCAGAGAAGTAAACTTTTGACCAAGTTCTTTTCTCTACATCTTTTGAATATATTCCTTTGTCTTAAATCCCGTAAATTATTTTGTTACTGCATACAATTTTTGCTGAAAGGACAATGTGTTAAAATTTCAGAGTGGGTAATATTAAAATAATTTATTTGTTTTAAATTCCAGATTGGGACCAGAAATTAGCCACCATTTCAGCAAATCCTAGACCACTTAATTCACTGCCAGAGCATTACTGTCGTGAAGAGAGGTGGCTTTGAAAGAAGGCTTTTAAAAACAAAATAGCATGGCATTTGAACAAAACAATATTTGACGTTTTTATATAGCTCTTTCTGACTAAAATAATGGTAAGAGGACTACTTTTAAGTGTGTGTCTGGATGACTACAATCCTAAAATATTCACATGCTGTAAATTCTTTTCAATTAAGTTTGTCAGACTAGGGCAGGGTATCAAGATCAGCCTTAAGAAGGCTTGTCGCCTGTTCTTAGCTCCACTACCAGTCTTGTTGCTGGTGTTGGCAAACCATCTTATACTTACTTAAAAGGTTATTTGTGGGACCAGTTAAGAATTGCATCTGCTCAATAATTGCATCATTGTTGGAAAAAAAAAAAAGAAGAAGGAGAAGGAGGAGGAGGAGAAGGAGAAGGAGAAAGAGAAGAACCTGAGGATGTAGCCAAGGAGGAAGATTAGCAGCATCACAGACCCTGAAGGTGTTCAGGATGCAGAAACCCAGATATGGCATAGGGCTGTAGTGGGATGTGGGACTCGTAAAAAAAATTAATTGAAAGTCTCTATACAGAAGAGTTAACATCCGTATCCTGACAAAAAGAAAACCTGACAACCAGGCATCAACTTCTTAGGCAAAAAGCTAGAGGTGCTTCTCTAAAGAAATGAAATGATTCCAAAGAATCCTACATTCTATTCCTTAGGGATCACCAGCATACTAGTTGGTTCTCTACTTGACACCGCAAAATACAGTATACCAGTTAGCAAACTTCCCCAAGAACATCTACTTAGAGCTCTCCATTTCCTTAGTCTTAGTTATGAAGAGCCAACCAAGGATCACCAGAGAGTTGAAAAATATTGCAGCATGAAAGACAAAGACCAAATTAAGCAGAAGAAATTATTCCAGAGGGAATAGAATTTAGGGAACACAAAGGAACCTAAAACAAGCTAACAAAATAACTTCTGACAACTGATAGGTCAAAATAATTACATCCATAAACATGAAAAAGCAATCTTTCCAAAGCTCTTGGAAATGAGGAATATGATTGCTAAAATTTTAAATTTGATAGGATTGGGGGGAGAATTGTGAAATACTTTATGGAGAATAAAAAAATAAAGAAAATGACTTTTTTTAAAGAAAGAGACATTGAGTAATAAATCTTGGAGGTCCATCATCTAACTAAAAAGCATTCTGGAGACAGAGCTGAAAAATTCGAGTAGAAGAAATTATCAAGGAAATATTTTCACAGAGCTTAAGACCAGAACCCTCCCAAATGAAAGAGCCTACGCTGCTACCTAGGACATGAAAAAATTAAAAACCTCAAATTAAAAAAAGAGCCAACTTTCGATACCATCGATTTTCTCTATTTTAGCTCCACTCTAATTTTTATTTCCATCCTTCTACAGGGTTTGGGTTTAGTTTACTTTCTTTTTCTAGCTCCTTAAGGGGTAAAGTTAGGTTGTTGATTTGAGATCTCTTTTTACTACTATAAATTTACTATGGAGCACTACCTTTGCTGCATCCATGTAAGTTTTGGCATGTTGTGCTTTTGTTTCCATTCATCTCTAAGTATATTCTAATTTCCCTTGTGATTTCTTCTAATCTGTTTAATTTTGACTTTCCACATATTTGTGATTTTTTCAGTTTTCCTTCTGTTATTGATTTATAGCATCATGCCATTGTGATCAAAGAAGATATGTTGTAGGATTTTAATATTTTTAAATCTGAGACTTGCTTTGTGACCTAACATATGATCTGTCCTGGAAAATGTTCCACGTACACTTGAGAAGAAGGTATATTCTATTTTTGGATATAGTGTTCTATTAATGTCTATTAGGTCTAGCTGGTTTATGGTGTGGTTCTATTTCCTTATTGATCTTTTGTCTAACTATTCTATAAATTATTGAAAGTAGGGTATTGAAGCCTCCACTTATTATTATTGGAGAACTATTTCTTCTTTCAAACCTGTGAACATTTGCTTCATATATTTAGAGACTCTGTTGTTTGGTGAGAACATGTTTATAATTGTTACATCTCAATAAATTGACTCTTTTATCAATATATGTCTTTTGTCTCCTGTAATAGTTTTGACTCAACCTATTTTGTGTGATATTAGAATATATTTTTCCATCCTTTCACTTTCAACCTATTTGTATCTTCGGATTGAAAGTAAGTCACTTCCAGATAGCATACCATAAGATCACTTTTTAAAAGATCCATTCTGCCAGTCTTTTCCTTTTGATTGAAGAGTTTATACGTTTACACTAATTACTGGTAAAGAAGGACTTACTTTTGCCATTTTGCTATTTCTTTTTTGTCTAATACCTCTTTTCATCCTTCATTTTCCTCCATTACTGTCACCTCTTGTTTAGTTGTTTTTCTGTAGTGTTCTGTTCTGATTCTCTTATCAGCTTCTTTTGTGTATATTTTAAATATATGTTCTCTTAAGGATTTTTATAGTTTCCATTCTTACAATTATCTCTTTAATACATTTTGAGTTTATTTTTGTGTATGGTGTGGAAATGTTCCAATTTCATTCTTTTACATGTAGCTGTCCAGTTTCCCATCACCACTTCTTGAAGACACTGTCTTTTCTCCATTGTGTATTCTTGCCTCCTGTGTTGTAGATTAACTGACCATAAATTTATTTTGGGGCTCTTTATTCTGTCCCATTCATCTATCTGGGTTTTTTTTTTTTTGCTGGGTAGGGGCAGTTGATGTGTGCCAGTACCATGCTATATGCCTCCACTGTAATCATTTATCCTAGGCAGCTGTGGGTCTTCACTTGCCTTACAATGTCTACTCTACTTTCCACCCTAGTTGAGTTCCAAGTTAGGCAAAACAGAGATGAATGCCTTGCGTTAGTCCTTCAGATTACCTGACAGGTTTAAACAGAAACACACAATAATGTACAGATAAGGTCTGCTCTACTCCTTTCCAGAACCAATGTCCAGGGTCCCATGCTGGAAACAAAGGTTGCTGTCTTCAAGACTGTCACTTAGCTGGGGAAGAAATTGGACAAGGGCAAGTAAAAACACTACAAAGTTCTCCTAGTTTTAATTTGCCTTTTCCCTGATTCAGTGTTTTCTTTGTTGTTTTAAATATGCTTTCCATGTTCTGAAAAAGTTCTAATAGCTCCTGCTTTTTTTTTTTAATGTTTCTGTGGATGTTTGGAGCTGTGCATTCTGCCATTTTATTGACATCACTTCTAATCCTAAAATTTATATGGAATGCAAAAGACCTAGAATAGACAAAATAATATTGCTAAAGAACAAAGTTAGAGGATTTATATATCCCAATTTCAAAACATACCATAAAGTTAAAGTATCAAAACAGAGTTGCCAAAGCAGATCAATGGGATCAAGAACTGGTATCCAAAATATTTAATAATCTCTTACAACCAAGAAACAAATAACGTAATTCCATAATGGGCAAAATCTTTGAATAGACATGTCACCAAGAATATACAAATGGCCATGAAGAGATGTTGGAACATCATAAGTCACATTAGGAAAATGCAAGTTAAAACAACACTTCACACCTTGAATAGGTATAATCAAAAGATACAAGTATTGACTAGGATATGAAGAAGCAGGAAGTCATAGACATTTGCTGGTGGGCATGTAAAGTGCTGCAGTCACTTTGAAAGTTTCTTCAAAAATGTAAATATAAATGTACAATATGATCCAGAAATTCCACTCCCGGATATCTACTCAATACAAATGAAAATGTATGTCCAAAAACTTACACACAAATGCTCACAGCAGCATTTTCCATAAGAACCAAAAACTGGAAATAATCCAATTGTCCCTGAACAAATGAAGAAATACATACAATGAAAAACTATTCAGTAATAAAAAGAAATGAAGTACATGGTACAGGCTCAAAACATTATATTCAATGAAAATTGCCAGATGAAAAAGACTGCATATTGCATGATTTCATTTATGTGAAATGTCCAGGAAAGACAATTCTATTGAGACAGAAAGTAGATTTGTGAGGTGGAAGTAAGAAAGAGGAGTGACTGCAAATGGGCATAAAGGATTTTTATGGGATGATGAAAACGCTCTATAAGTAGAGATTACAGTCATGGCTGCACCATTCTGTAAACTTACTAAATCATCAAGTTGTTTTCTTTAAACAAGTAAATTTTATGGTATAAATTAGATCTCAATAAAGTTGCTTAAGTAAAAATCATATGTATGTTTTGATAAAAAATAAAACAAAATCAGGAGAAGTCTCCTAAGGAAGGCAAGGAAGAAAGATGGACTGATGCTGTGCACAGAAGTGATACAAATCTTATTTTCCTTCTTAGGCAGATACTATGAAGGTGGATGCTGTTCTAAATGAACATCAAGGCTAATGGTATATGTTGGTGCTTTCAAACAAAACTATCCTTTAACTTTAAGTGAGTGAACGAATGAATAAATAAACAGTGGGAAACTAGTTACAGAGCTAATAGTCTCCCCAAAATTCCAGAAGCAGTTTCCAAATAGGCAGCTTATATAATATGTAACTGCAGAATCTAATGAAAGCATAGTTTTCCCTTCTTTCACAACCTTTGTGTTCACTGTGGATGTTCACTCACAGGGTTTCTAAGATCAAGCCTTTCAAATGATGTCGAATGCCAACATCCCAATTGTATTTATGTAAAGCGCTGATACATACTGATTACAATGTGTGATGTGGACTTCTAAAATTATTAATCACTGAATATACTCAGTTCTCAGGTATACTTGAAATGGCAATTTATTCTCAGTAAATGGTAAATCTCATTTCTTGAAAATACTTAAAATTAGGGGAGGGTATACCTCAGTGTTAGAGCACACGCCTAGCATGCATGAGGTCATGGGTTCGATCCCCAGTACATCCGTTAAATAAAAAATAACACAAACAAACAAACCTAATCCCCCCCCAAAAAACAAACAAAAAATACTTTAAATTATACGCTTAAAAAATCAAAATACAAAGATGTATAAGGATAATCACAAAGTCCTCTCTTAGTGACCGGTGTTGACTGTTTGACATATAGCCTTACATACTTTGTCTTAGATTTAGACCAACAAATATAGTTTA